ACTTTCTAACAACACATCATTTCTACTTTTAAAAAATGATATTTCACCACTGAATTAGCTCACGAAAGGGTCCGAACAAGAAAAGTAAATGTTCTAAAATTTTCCCAACTAAAAGGGAATTCACTCACTGATCAAAATACTAAATAATGACTCTTGTAAACAAAATGTTTCATAGGCAAAATAAACTTTATCTTCCCAATCAGCTGGCAAATAATACAAAATTCTAAAACTTTTCCCTCTAACTTTTAGCAACAGCTGGCCCATTTAAAATATATTTTCCTTAATACTCATCCCTTAAAATCAATATTAAATGTAAAAAAAGAAAAAAAGAAAAGAAAAGAAAAGAAAAAATTCTCTGCACCTCAACCACTGCCTAAATCTCCCTGACAAACAAATTTAACAATCAAGAAAAAATGTCCGCTGAAAGCTCAAGTAATTCATCTGGACTATTAAAATCTTATTCTGTCATAACATTTTACAAAACCCAAAACATAAATATCAAATCTCCTCTTTGTGTAGGTGAGAAACACTACATATCCATCTCTAGAAACATATATTTATGTAAAATCTTACAGATTTCACTAGACTACATTTCATACAAAATATGTACAAAATTTGTTAACCTAAGTTTTCAAAAGAATATCGTTTCTTATTAATAGTTCAGCTTCACCACTACACTAAAATAATATATATGTATGACTATGTTTATATGTGTCTGGATGTGGGTATGGATAGTGATGAACCGTATTCATGTTGACAAATGTGGAAAGGAATGAATGAGACTGAATATCTTCACAATACCAAAGATGTATTTAACCGGTTTCGATCATATCTTCGTTAGAAATACATGAATAGTGATGTGAGTATGGATAGTGATTTGAGTATGGATGTGGATGTAAATGTGGATCTGAGTGTGGATGTAAGTGATTGTGAATGTATGTATGAGTGTAAGCATGAGTGAATGAGCATCTGTAAGAGTTTGTGTAAATACTTCTGGTGAAAAAGCTATTGAGATCATGGTCCATACATATGTACTTGCATAGTATTTACACAATGGCCTTTGACAAATGAAGCAAGCATTTGCCAGCAGAAATAATGCCAACACTTTCTAGCACTGATTCATTTTCTAATAAGACTTCTGAATCACGATCTGCTGAGGAACATGACATCAGACGTCTATTTTGTACTATGAAGAGAATCAGATCAATGATCAGATCTAAGTTATTCAATTTCAAAATATGTAAAAGTAAAAATAAATAAATAAATAAATAAATAAATAAGTAAATAAATGAAAAATTAATTTAGAAAATGGATAATAATGATAATAATAGAATTAAAAAATCACACATGCTGACTGAATAATAACTGAACAACAATGCCAATCTACCTGCATGTAAGACAGTGTACTTGATAACTGTCAACATAAAAACAAATAAAATAAGAAAATCAATGCACTTGGAGCCACAAAAAATTGCCAACAAAAATTATCCATAAATTCATAACACGTGTTGAACAAAAAAACAAAACAAGAACATTATAATTTAAAAATTGAACATGGTTACAAATAATGACCGCATGAGGGCACTACTGTGAACATGGCATGCTTAGGTGAAGCAAAAAAAAAAAATAATAATAATAATAATAAGAAGAAGAAGAGAGAAAAAAAAAAAAAAAAAAAAAAAAAAAATAGCAATAAGAATATGAAAATAAAATTTATCTTATTACACAAAACTTTAAACAGCTTAAATCCAAGAGCCTCAAGACAGCTCTCAAACCCTGAAGGTGAAATGGGATCCATATCCCCCTTTAAGTATGAATGCCAAGTGGAATCATCAGATCTTACTGATACTGCAAGTCATGCAGGAGCCGCACGACCATGGGCACCGGTGACTGTTGGGCAGGATTCTGCTCGACTGTTTGGAACTGGAAATTGGCATAGGGATTGTGATGTTCCATGAGACCCTGATGATGGATCATGGGCGGATTGGCCTGCGCTGGTGGCAGCATGTTGGTGGTGTGGTGCGTAGGAGTGAAGGTGGTCACTCCAGTGGCAGGAATTGTGCATGCCATGGGTTGTGAATATGTAGGGTGGACCATGTTCATGGGTGGTGTCATGGGTTTGGGCTTGGGCTTGGTTTCACGAGGGGGCAGCATGCCAGGGGGTGGGGGAGGAGCACTCTCTGGGAGGTTTAGCTTGCGACGCTGATTGGCTCCAATGTAGACCGTTTTATGGACCTTCTTAACGTGGTCAGAAATGTGACTTGGTCCATGGAAGCACTTTCCACAATGAGGGCACTCATACGGGGTCTCACCAGTGTGTTTCCTTCGGTGGTACTTCAAGTGTGAGCACACTTTGAATGCCTGGCCACAGATATCACATACATACTTTCTAACATTCTCATGCACAACTCTGATATGTGTTTTCAGATCACTTGGACTACAAAAGCCTTTGCCACACACCTCACACACATTTTTCCTGCCCTCTGGCCCCCCATGCATGCGCCGTCTGTGCGTAACCATGTTAGTGAGGCTGTGGAAGACCATTTTACACTCAGGGCATGGGTGCTGAACCTCCTTGGTGTGGACTGCATTGATGTGGATTCTCATGGCCCGAGAATCAGAGAAGGGCTTCCCACATACCTCGCACATTACCTCATTCTTGCGTACCTTGAGATGCACACGCTCTACATGCTTCCTGAGGTCGCTTGGGCAGATAAAGCCCTTATTACATATATCACACAAGAGTTTACGCGCCTCATCCCCCTGGTGCACTCGGCGGAAGTGGTTCTGCATGTTGCCCTTCTGGTTGAAGGTCTCCTTACACTCCGGGCACTCATAAACCTGGACCTTCTCATGGATGGTCTCTATGTGCACCTTGAGACCTGTGGGGCTGGAGAACTTCTTGCTACAAAGCTTGCACACAAACTGCTCTCTCTCCACGCCCATGTGTACCACCAGGCAGTGCTGCCGCAGCTGCATGAACGTGTCAAAGACCTCGTCGCACTCTGTGCAAGGGTAGTGGATCTCCTCCTGATGAGCCTCAGCCAAGTGCGTCTTGATGTCCTGAAATTTTGGCCACAGGTTAGTGCTGTCACGTCTTCTTCATGTATGATGGAATTATCACTAGGCGGATATCGTCCAATATATTTCGCAGCTCAGGCTTGCTAGATGAGTACATATTGTCATAATCAACCCGGGCTAATCTTCATCTTTATTCTGGTTGCTATCAATAATGCCCATCAGTAAGGTAACTTTCTTTAGTCCATAATGTTCTATAAGTACTCTATAAACACTTGTAAGTTTATTCTGATGAAGATAATATCAAAAATATTTTCAAAAAAACAAAAATAAACAAATAAAGAAAAAAATCTTCACAGATTCACTATAAAGACAAAATCATACCTGTAGTCTGTCTGTATATATTACCATATTTGGTAATAGACACCTACAACCTATACCTTAAAATGCAGATATGACGAAGCTGATATCATGGTCTCTATTTTTCATATAAATAAGAAATTAAATATATAACATAAATCAATTACTGGAAAAACAGTGTTACCAAAGTTACTATATAGATGCACAGACAAAAATCCTGATGAACCATATAATTCCTATGCCAACAACATGATTCCCAAAAAATAAAAAGTAATTATATAACAGTAATGACAATAGCAAGGATGGCCAGAATATCAGAGGTGAAAATACAAATACTACTAATAATATATAACCAAAAATAATTAGAAATATTTATAAAATTACAGCTTACTCCTTTTCATTTTTTTTGTGATTACTGATATCCAATAACAAAAAACAAGGAAAGGTCTCTCAAGCTACTCAAAATGTCCAATTCTATATACTCAAGGCAAATATAGACAAACAGATGAATAATATGATATCCCAAACCTTAAGTCTGTTACTGGCAAACACATCCACCCCAAAACAATGTTGCTTACCAAAGGGAATATTTCATTACAGAAAAATTGTAGAAAAGGTGAATCAGGATAAGTAATTCCACCACTACAATACATTGAATGATCATTTCAAAATTATCTATTACACACTTTGCTTTGTGGAACTATCTTTTCTACATCTTTTACCTTACTTATGATACAAGTCCCAAGATAGCACCGACAAATATCACCCTAAGAACCAGAAACTTACTCAATCACTCACTCACTAACTCACTAGCTCATTCATACACCAACTCTCTTGCTCACTCACTCATTCACTCACTTGCTCACTCACTCATTAACTCTCACTCACTCATTTTCTCTCTGAATTTAAATAGTTACCTACTGACTTAAGAAATAATGTGAGATATCATAACCAGCACGATAGTCAAATAAAACATAGCCCATTGGCAATATCCATGTATATAAAGTATATATCTAAATAGTGTGTAGGCAATTTTGTTTTACGTAATCTTATATAATGTCTAGGAATGCATTGTCTTATGAGCTTCAGAGTTGTGACTTACTCATTAAGTTATTTTATGAAAAACAAAAATCTACTTTAAACAATAGGAAAAAAGAAAAAAGAAAAAAGAAAAAGAAAAAGAAAAAATCTCTTCCATGCTCCATCTTCACAGAAACAAATAGGATGGAGATTAAGAGAAAACTAAGAACAAATATAGTATTACATAAAAAGGGAGAAAGAAAAAATATGACTGAAGATAGAACAAAAAATTAAAATAAGAATGAAAGAGAAATATGAACAAGAAAATAACAAAAATAATTATGATAATAAAGAGGAGGGGAGGAAGAGAGAAGAGATAAAGAAGAAGGAAAGAGTAAACAAGGAAAATTTAGAAGAAACATATTTACCTTCCTCTTGTAGACGGATTCACAGAATGGGCACGGGAAGAGCCGATGTGTTGATAAGTGAATCAGGTACTTCTTTGCGTGGACAACCTGTTTATGGGAAGAAAACAATGTTATTCATTACTCTGAAAGATGGATTATAAATTGATGTGGTTTATGCATACGAATGTTTATATGCAAATAAGCATATTGTGTTAAACTTTTGCAGAGAGTAGCTAGTAAAAATTAAAAAATGAAAATCAATAAATGAGTCACCCAGAATATGAGGGCAAACACTAAATCTATATCAATTTAGGTTTCTCACCCACACGCACATTCACATGTGTGCAAGTACACACATACACATAGAGATAGTATGACAGATACACTATACATAATTATGAGAAGCAAAGCAATATAATAAGTAATAATATTCACAAAAGAATATAAAACTAATATTAATCACAAACAGTGGTGGATCGATGTGGTGGGGAAAGAGGTGGGGGCAATAACAAATGCAGCAAGCCCCTACAGGTATAATTTTCTAAAAAATATAATTTTCTTAAAAATAATAATAGTAATGATGTTACCATTACCAATCTCATTATTATCATAAACATTATAATATCTTTTTCAGGGGACCAACACCAGATTTACCACTAACCAAAAATAATAATAACAATCATAAGGTAAACTTCACAATGTAATGCATAATTTCTCTTAGTCTCCCTCTTCCTTGATCAGGGGCGGTCTGGCATCAAAATTGCAGGGTGGCTAGCAAACCAAAAGGGCATCCTGGGTGTAGCAGATAAGATCATTGTAACTACACCCACTAATACAGGAATCACCTTAAATATACTCAATCAATATTTACATTGATTGAAAGATATGCCAGAGGAACACTTTGCTTGGACTTTGCACACTTTGTACTTTATTCAATCAAACATTCTTCACCATACATATCAGAGGGCCCGGGTAGTGATTGCCACTTTGCCAGACTGCCCCTGCGCTTGATACAGCAAATGGCAAAAGTTAAGACTCTCCTCACCTTTTTGCATGTAGGACAGTCCTTGGTTGGAGCTCCTGGAGGTATGAAATCGTCTTCTTCCTTATCCTTCTTCCTGGGCCGTCCACGTCCTCGTTTCCTTGGCCTACCCTCTGCATCATTATCTTCTATTCCACTGAGGTTGTTTTCGATATGCTAAAGTGGGAATGTTTTAGGGGATGAGAATATGTTGTATGACCATATAATCTATTCTCCATGGCTATATATTTACTGCTGATTTGAATTTCCTAAAGCTTTTCTTTCCTTCCTTTGTTGTTATTGTGTGAAAACTATACAGTCTCCAGTCATTCTTTACTTCTTACATTGAATCTGAAATATCATTATACTTATTGCATACAAAGAAGAATCCAAAAACAAAATGTCATAATAATGATAATACAATGCATTTAATCTTTACCTTAATCTTTGCTGTGAGCTTTACTTTCCGAGGACGTCCTCCTTTACGCTTTGTCTTTCTCGTCTTCTTTTTTTTCTTTGCTCCAGAGGCTGTGCAGTCGGGGTCATCATCATCATTGTCTATCACATCTGACTCATTTGACTCATCCCATTCAACATCCACTTCAAGCTGAAAATTGTTGCAATTAAATCTTAAACACATTCTCCAATACTAATAATCCAAAATAATTAGTCATACTGATAGTACTCAAAATATATCTAGCTTTATCTATCAATCATAATATAGAAAGTTACAGTCCATAATATGAAATATATCTTCACATATTTGTTAGTAATCTGATGCTCTGTAAAAGACCTAACACCTTACAAAAGCACAGGTTAGAAAAATCTGGAATTTATTCTTATAATCACATTGCCTGTATTATATTCATATGCCTCTACACTTCTTGTAATTTACAACAATGATTTAAAGGATAAAGTTCAACTCAATGACAGTCACAGTGATGTAGTCATGTGATTACCCCAGCCCTCATGTCTACAGGATGCTGATAAAGCACAAGCTTCACCATACATATTCTGGTAAAATTAATATCATATTTGATAACAAATTATCTGGAAGGTTTACAAGACATGTGCAGTAGAAATTTGTTGTCCTTTGCTGAAGTGCGAATGGCATGGCCATTGCCCATTGACCAATGGAGAATGTATAAATGTCTTATGAACAACAAAAATGTGAATTTGAATAATACAATATACATTTACTTACAAGAATATCCAAAACATTACTTTACTTTTGTAAATCTATATTACTTTTGTAAAACAGAAACTAAATTGTGCTTACTGTTGGTCTCTCAATCTCTCTCTTCGCATGAGGTTGCCTGTGTGCTATAGTAGCTTCGTATTGTTGAACTAGTTCCATTTTCGTGTCTGCCAGCTCAATTTCCAGCCCATCTACCTGGTCCACTAGGTTGAAACACCTTCGGCATAACACGTCACTATGGGCCTTATACAACGTCAATCCTACTAAGCGGCCTAACATTGCCGACAGTTTTCTCTGACTCACTGTCATGGTTGCCTTATAAAGATCTACTAATTCCTGTGATGATTCTTGGGTTGGGAGGCCCTTGTCACACACAAGGCACCACCGAGACGTTTCCATCCCACTCTGCCCTGCCCCAACATTGTCCACACCCTCGCTCGGCCCCTCCACCATGTTGGGGTCATGGGCATCTGGGGCTTTCACTTCTACAGGCCCCTCCTCCATCACCCGTACCATTGAAGGGCCTGCCTCACCACCTGTGTCCATGCTCACTGCCACTTCCATGTGTTGTTGCTGCTGCTGCTGCTGTTGCTGCTGCTGTTGCTGCTGCTGTTGCTGCTGTTGTTGTTGCTGCTGCTGTTGCTGTGCAACTTGTGCAGCCTGTTGCTGGTGATGTGCCAGTTGTTGCTGATGCACAGTATGATGCATAGTAATCTGCTGTGCATTTGCCATTTGCGTTGTTATGGTGGCCATGGTAGCATCCATTGGACCTTGACGCGACCCTGCAACCATCGGCAGCGAGGGCTCAGGCATAAGGATCCTGGTGTGGGGACCCTGCTGAGCCACCTGTTGTGCCACCTGCTGAGCTGCTGCCTGCTGTGCCACCGCCTGCTGAGTTGCATGATGGTTTGCCATGGGATGTCCGCCCATATTCATGGCGAACATCCTTCTCTGTTCTTCAAAATCCATTTTGGCTGCTGAGGATTCTGTTCATCTATTCCTGCAGAGGAAAATTATATGATTTTTATGGCATTTGCATTAATAAACTGTAATCGAATCATTAATAAAAGAAGACAATAAGAACATTTCATGTAAAAACTTGGAAAAACAAAGGATTAAACCAGTGGAATAACTGAGTGTACATCTTCAGTCCCCATTCCTGATTAGACTCTTTTTACACTTCCACATCTAAATATTTTATATTTTCTGTATCAAAGTTATAAAACGATATTCTGAATCTACACAATTCTAAAACAGGAACAGCCATCAAGTAAAATCATTTGAAATAACTAGTATATGAATATATGAAAGAACATTTTATATAAAACTGAGAATGAGAACAGGAAAAATGCATCTCATAAAAACAGATATATAAAATATAAATAAATAAATAAATACATTCTTCTCTGTAGGTAAAATCATATGCGTCTGAGTATGTGCATGATATAAGCTAAAACATTAAAATTAAATCTGATACTGAAACTGAACCATGCATGTGGGCATGTTTATATGCACATTTATGAAGGGTAAGTTCAGAAAAAAAATATAGATATAATTACCATGAAAGAAAACAGTATATAAGTGAAGTAAATAGTACATAAGGAGTGAATCATTCTAACCTATATTAAAAAGAAAATTATAAAAACTACATAATTTCAACAAAAACAAAGACAATATTAAATGATAGATATAAAGAAAGTCAACATCTTTTTCTTTGAAGTATTACCAATCATAATACAAAACTAAAATACAAAATAATAATTTCAGTGATACATTATATTACATTTCTAATATTAAGAAAAACATGATTTATTTCATTACATTATTTTTCTTAATTACCTAATCAATACAAAATGAAAAGAGAGATATATTCTATACAACTGTTGCTGCTAATAGCATGATTTGCACTGCCAGCCCCCATACCATAATTATGATCATCATCTGTTCTCCCCCTTGCAATGTCATGCAACACGGACTTTCATTCACATATGAAATTAAAGAAAAGGGAGGAAAACAGAGGCCCCAATACAGAAATGTTCTTTTTTCTAACGTCAATTAACCGTTCCTCCCTCCAACCCTCCCTTAACGGTTAATAACTCCTTCTAATCTACTACCTAGTGTTTATTATCCACTCGAGAACAGAAATCATGCACAAAAAGGGCCAAATTTCGCCCGTTTCGTGTAAAGCAAGGAAAGTGGAAGTTATTTATGCGTCTGAAACCCTTCGGGGCGTCAGAAGCTGGCGTCGTTTGCCTCTCCATTAAACTACAAAATGTCATATTCGCAAACTACAGTCAAACTACATACGATGTGCTTGTAAATTACAGTGCATGGGAACCTTTCTATCACTATCACCCTTCGCCTTACATTTAAACTCACCGTTTCTATCTGTCTTGTCCTAAAAATCCTCATATTTTATCCTTTCGTCCTCTTCTCCTCCTCCGTTTTAATGGTTTGAGCCCCAAAGAATTAAGAAAAGGAAATAATGAAAGAAGGAGATGAATTACGGAGAATAGGGGTGATACTGGTGGCTTTTGAAATTAGAGTCAGTAATTAATAGCGAATAAATAGGAAATAGGAGAGATAGATGAAGATTTTTCTCTTTTTTCTCTCCCTTTCTCCGACTTTTGACACAGTCGGACATTTTAGCACGGGGGGAATTTCGGGAGAGCATTTTATTTCCCCGTCCAATTCACGGAGAGGTTAGGCGGCGTCGGGAATATTCAAAGGTGTGGAAAATGTGAGGGCGTGGGTATTAAAATCCAAAAGGTGGGATACTTACATGATTATCCGGTCGATACAAAGAGATGCGATGAAGGCAGAGGAAAATGGCGCCGAGGAACATCTCTTTTCCTCCGCATCCAATACGCTCTTTTCTTGGTATAAAGAGAGGTATTTTCCCTCAAACAAAAGATTTTTATTGCAACTGTTGGTGATATTGTGGAAGGAAGGTCCCCAGTGGATTATTCAGTAGTATTAAATATTCGGGAAATATATGGTATCTCGGGAGATCCAAGCGTACCAACCCTTCACAATGTTTTGACATCTATTTAAAACAAGTGTTATTTGTATTCTACTTTATTTCGAAATTCTATCTAGTGACACGATTGTATTGTAGTGCGGAGTCTTGACCTATCATCACTACAAGCCTTAGATCTTATAATAGCATAACTTCAACTATAAAGTGGGGATAATTTCGCGGGTTCTATTTCGCGCGATGACACTCCCGCCAAAGATACAAAAAAAATCATTACAAAAACTTATCAGTAAATTAATCAAGAATCTCTGCATGGCTTTTGAATGTGATCTGTACTGAAAGGCTTTTAGCAAAGAAACTTTATCAGCTCATTAATCAAATTACACACGAGAGATGTACATTTGTATTCTCTTGAAATTTCTTTCAATGTGTGATTTATACAAATTCCTCGTTTATTGTTTCACTAATTTTCCCCTTTCTAATCGATTTTCATGTACTTACTTTTGGCATTCGTATTCACCATATACGCTTAGTTGAAAAGTTTTCTTCATATCACGTTGAAGTTTAGTAGTTTGCTCATTTTTATTTTTTCTGACACCGATGTGACGAATATGTTATCCAATACATGTAGATTACCAATAATATTCATCCTTTCCACCAGATCACGTATTTTCCGTAGAGTATTTTATGCAAGAAAATCAAACGCATGCTGTCACTAACCGAAAAGGGAATTCTTACTACATATCAAGGCAGAAGTTGCATTTTATTGCTATAATAAAATGTAAATTGATTGATGCAACTATACTCAAGGCTGCAAAGCACATATTTGCATTATTACAAGCATGATCATCATTAGCATAATTTTTTTTTTCTTCACAGTCACACGACCATAAATCTAATATATATAATCAGACATTTCTCCATATTCTCCTATTTTTTTCCGAATCAGTCTACCGACATTTGTTTCGCGCCAAAATTAAACTGGAAACAGAGAAGAAAATGTATTAGAAAAATGTGGTCCCACGCGCATCCCATCCCGGCTCTTGCCAATGGCGGCGTCGTACACAATGCATTTGTTTCGTGCAGAGAGGGAAGGGGAAAGAGGAAATTAAATACAGATGCAAAGAGCGGGAAGAAAAAAAATAGGGGAGATGGGGGGAGATGGGTGTCGTGGAGATAACAAGAGATTTTAAAATGTATTATTTATTTATTAATTCTTATCATTTTCTTATTTTCTTCGTCGGGAAAGTCTGACTCGATTTTATAAGCTTTCTTTTTTGTACTTTCAAATGGCAATACTTTACTAGATGTAGTACTGGTAGTACAGATAGAACTGACACTATTTATTAAGACAGCGATTACCTCTTACATAAAAAATCGAAATAAGAAACCACGTGCTGTAATAAAGAATGTTAAGCTCGATTTTATTATTTTATCACTCATAACGAAAGGACGATCTAACGTATTATATATGCAATGCGAAGTGAAAGACTATGAAATGTCCCACAGAAACTGCTTCACTGTAATAAAAAAGGCATGTGCGATATCTGCTGCAAAGTATGTTATATATATATAATATATATATATATATATATATATATATTATATATATATATACATATATATATATATTTAAAAGTATATTTGTAATTACTTTCAAGTTTGATTTCTCTACCACCAGGCAGATGCCTTTTATTTCAAAGTTTCTATGCAGAATTTAGGATAGTGCTGTTGAACAATGTGAACTATTGATTTACAATTAAAGCTTCATATAATGAATATGAAACTTTATACGAAAAAATACGGATTTAAATAAGTCTGTGATAATCCACCTTCCATATTCTATGAATGTGGAGATCACGTTTGTTCGAAATTATTGGTCTTTATCACTTCTATACCAATTTTTATTTAGAAAGTAAGATATAATGATTGTAATTCATATGAATGCATGTAGTGAGAATTTACTTCTCTTCATAAGGCTCATGTTGTCTTTGTAGAGCACCATGCTTTTCCTTATGAAAAGGGAGATGTGCATTCTTGATAATTTGTCATGATTTGATTAATAACTCTTTGAAATAGTCGCATAGGGATGAACAGAAACTGTATGAAATGTGAAAAATTAGGTAATCAACTTTTATCTATTCTTATTTACTTTGCAAAGGATCAGTGACCGATTTAAATCATGCGGCGCTGCAGGTTGGAGCGCATTTTAGCACACTCCGATTTGGTTACCCGGGTACAAACCCATTCTCACAATTTCCAAAATATAATACAAAACTAAGCAAAATCTAAAGAAAAGTAAACTATATGATTTTTGAAGTGTATATATTAAAAAATAAATGAAAATAATCTTCAGAGATTATATTATGGAGCGCAAAGACAGTGAATCGGGGTGCGCCATTCATCCTTCCCCGAGGCGGAGAGACAGACGAAGTGGACGTCGGCTGCCGGGTCGGTCCTCGCGCGCGTGGCTCTCTTTTCCACCCAATGCTTTCCGTTACGAGTTGAGCCGACATTTTAAGAAAATGGGTGCATATCTCTCAGAGCCGGTGACGGAGAAGATCAGCAGCGATGAGTGCGGCGAGAGCTTGAGCTACGGCGCGAGCTCCATGCAAGGCTGGCGAGTGTCGCAGGAAGTGAGTATATGGCGTGCCTTTGTGTCACGCTGGGACGCCCCAACGCGGCTCGGGTTTTCAGGCCTTTCCCTCGCCTTCGTCAGCGCCCGCGGGGAGTCCGGAGGGGCAAGGGGACGGGGACGGGAAGTGGAAGGTCGAGGGCGGGAAACACGTGGTTGTCGTGGGGAAGGGAGAGAGGGAGAGAGAGTGCGGGAGAGAAGGAAAGTGAGGGGGAATGGTAAAGGGAGAGATTGAAGGTAAGTGATAAATAAAGAAAGAGGGAGAAGGAGTAATGAAAAGGAAAGAATGAGAGGGAGACAGCTCACAGATGAAAGAGAGAAAGATGGCAAAGTAGTGTGACAGAGTTTCCATGATGAGAGAGTGAGGGAGACATTGAAAAAAGGGAAAACCCAAGAGAAAGACAAGCAAATGAAATAGGGAGAAGGTGAAAATTAAGAGACGCAAATTGACAATAAGGGAAGGTTTACAGATCTGACAACCTCATCATATTCAGTAGTACTTTCCCCATTGTTGTTGAAAGGAACCCTTAACATAACCTTGCATCAGTTGGGCTTTTTTGCCTGTCGGTACTCTGGTCTTTCTGGCATTGGATCACTAAATAAGGAACTGTCGAGGAGTTATCCTATTCAGGAGAAGAAACTAGTGATTGCTTAATACTCAGTTCCTACCATGAGACAAAAGTTTCTAGACCTTCTATTATAGGAAGAAGAGGATTTGGAAAGAGCACAATCATTATTAGTCTTTGAGGTCTGTGTAAAGGGATTGTTAGGGTGTAGATTGAGACTTTTAGAAAAGAATGTCCACAAAGTACAAGGTAAATATTACTTGGAATTGTTAGTATCAAATTCTAGGGCCCTCTTTGTGGCATTGTAGATACAAATTGAAAATAGCCAAGTTTACTGATATTGAAATATAATACTGTTAGAGCTGCTTTGACCCTTGTATTATATGTATTAACTGAGGCAGCTGCTACAGTTTTGTTTTTAACTTCTCATGTCTGGCAAAAATAAAGCCAGGATATTGAGAATGTATATAGGTCAGTCATAGGTAAGAACAGTTTTATTTTACTCTTTCATTCAGAGCTGCATGCGAGATGTCTGTTGTTGATGTTCTTGTGACCATGATAGTTTATGTTCAGATTACCTTAGCGTGATAGATTGTAACAATATTGGTATCATAGATTCCTCTCTTTCTAGGCTACTACCCATATGTATATATGTATGTGTATGTGTATACATATATAAATGTATATATATATAATATATATATATATATATATATATATATATATATATATTATATGTGTATATGTATATAAATGTGTATATGTATATATATGTGTATATGTATATAAATGTGTATATGTATATAAATGTGTATATGTATATAAATGTGTATATGTATATATATGTGTATATGTATATACATGTGTATATGTATATATATATATATATATATATATATATATATATATATATATATATATATATATAAATATTGTATATATATTATGTAAAAATATTTTGTAGAAACCCTCCCAATACTGATCACCTTGGTCCTGATAGCAGGAGAGGGCATGAATGGTACCAAGGGAAATTGCAGGGTAAAATATGAATATATAGAAAATTGGTCATTGTGTAGTCACATGCAGGGTGCCCGCTGCAACCACCTGGACAATAAAGAGTCCATCACATATGTTCGGCAGACTTGACATTAGGTGCTCCTGTATGTTGGTCATATGCTCTATCTTGCCACAAATGTGTGGATGTTTTGTCTTTTGTCTTTCAGCACGAGGGTTTAGGGGCGGCTGCTTTCGAGGAAGGGTCAGAGGTGTTCTAGCCCATTTCAGACCATAGAGTGACTAAATTTTTATAATTATAATACCGACATATTTTGTGCATATTATTTTAGTAATTGTTACCAATGGTGATGCTCTCTCCCAGAGATAAGTTGAAAAATTGATATTTCTCTGCAGTAAATCCAATGATTTCATTGATTCTTGGGGTTGTTTCTTAGAATGAACTGTCAAGGAGATGAGTCCCATTTCTCCATTAACGATCTTGATTTGATAGTCCCGTAATACATCTATATCTCAGAACATTAAACTTTCATTCACTTCTTTCTACCATTTGGATTGCTTTGATTTTAATCCTTTTTTCTGAATTTGGAGTACTAGAATGGCTCTGGTATAAAACTGGGATCTATTACTAAAGTCTACTTCTTTGTTGCCACTGTATAGTCTTAAGGGGACTGTCGCACTTAACCCACCCGCGCCGGGGTACATTTTGTAGCCAAAATTAAAAAAATCCGGGAAGCTACAAAATCGGCGGGCGGAGCTTCCCCGGAGTCTGTCCGCCCGCCCG